GAGGGGGAGGAGCGAGCGAGCAGCCGAGAGGCGGTTGGGTCGGCCCGCGGCGGCGGGCGGAGGGCCCACTAGCCCCCCCGCCCCCCGCCCCAGCGCGTGCACCACGGAGCCCACAGGGCCAAGAACCGCGTTGCATGCGCCGAGGCGGGGGGGGAAGAGCCAGTCGGACCTGGCAAGGCGGCCGAGCGGCCAGGGGGCACGGGGCCTGCGGCAGGCCCGTGCTCACGTGCACGGAGCCTGCCATGGCGTGGAACTCCACGCACAGCAGGCCCAGCGACAGCGGGGCGAGGCCGAACTCCTGGTGGCCCAGCGAGCCCAGGTGGCCACAGATGAAGAGGGCCGTGCCGACCCACACGTGGATCAGCTCGAACATGCTCGAGCTGCATGCAGCAAAACTGGCTGGATGCAGGCCAGCACGTAGGGTGCCCAAGGGCCAGCCACGCTGCAAACCCAAGGGACCTGGCCGGCCTGCACCTGCCTGGCGACATGTGAACCTGCCCTAGGCAGGATTTGAACGCCGAACCTGAATCGGCCCCACTGTCAACCAAAAAGTCCGTCATCGCTGCCATCATCAGAGCCTGAATCGGGTCCAGGTTGACCCAGCTCCTGCACTTCACCATATGAAAGCCCATACCCACGTAAGATTCTGGGCACATCGAGGTATCTGGCATCGCCTGCGGGAGCAGGTGATGCAGCCGCTGATCTCTCCACAACCGTGTCCACCAACGGATCAATCCACTGTTTGATCTTGCACATAGTCTTCCCCGTCTCCGCCGATGGCCGAGACGGGCCGTCCAACTGCACGTGCTTCTTTGAACTCTGCGGGTGCCTGAGATTCTCGAAGTGTCGCGTGTTCTCAACTCCACGTCCTGACACCGACCGCCCAGGGCACGTCACGTCCAGACCTTTGTGCGACTCCAAATTGAAGTACCTGCAGCACGTCGTGCAGAACACGGGGCAGTAGTCCAGACCCACAGCTTTGTATTCGTACAGGGCATGCTTGCCCACAAACCATGGCTCTGTTGACGTTTCTTCCATGCGCAACGCCTGCTCGATCCTTGCTTCGTCATCATCTGCCACTGGAAACCAGTAATCCAGAAATTGTTCATCCTGAGAGTAGAACCAAACTTCAAATCTCGCCAGATACCCCAGCAAGGTGCGATGAAATCTGCGGCAACCGTTCACAAACCTAATCAGTTGCTCTGAAGGTAGCGTCTGCTTAGCACCGTGCTTGGCCCAGGAGTCCGCCCCCCCGTTGCCGTCCATTTGAAAGTGCGAGATGTTCCACTCACGAACGTCTTTCATAGTTGCGTGAGCTTTTACGTGCATGAAACATTGGTCGCTGAAATCCTCCCTCAGCCTAGTCAGCTTCCAGATATGCGCCCGTGCGCACTTGGATCCCGCAGCCCAAGATAGGTTGAAACAGCACGATAGTGAGCTCTTGCAGTCTGAGAGAAGCGTCCACGTTCCTAGCACCAATCGACTAGCTTGATAAATTGCGTAGTCTTCACCATCTTTCGCCACCTGTAGCGGCCCGATCTGCTTTGGCACTGCACCATAGAAACGTCCGGCTCGACGACGCTCACTGTCAAAGGCGATCACTGCCCAACCTGCAACTCTGAGCTCTGGAATGTTGGTGTGGAACCCGCTGCCGTCGACGAAAACGAACCCGTCGGCTACTGTCACCACTCCAGTGTTGTCGGCGTCGATGAAGTCGCGTGCTGAGGAACGCGGCAGATTGGCAAAGGCCTGACCAGGATTCTGCAGGATGCCTCTCGCAAACTTCTCTTGCATCGCTGGACTCCCTCTGCTGATTTCCCCTGCCGCTTTACTTATGATATCAGGAATCAGAATATGTCGTTGGCCTGCGTAGGCGTCGCAACTGAAAAATCTGTGGAATCAAGTTCCTGGCGCTATGCCACAGCGCTTGCATCAATGACTCTGGTCGGGGAAAGCTCGAGCCACTATGGCGTGGCTCCAGTGTCCTCCTGAGCAGAGGCCCCGAAGAGACCGCCTCTCATGTGGGGATAGTTGATTTGGCTTCATTGCCGCCTGAAGTGGCCCCCGCGATATTTCTCCCAGCCCAGGTTCCTCGTCTGCGCCGCGTAGTCCTCTCAGAACATCTCGGCTCATGTGTCTCTGCACTCCCTTTTTGACCATGTCTGCGACGAGCTCTGCCGAATAGTGAGAAGTGTCCCAGACTGTGCCCTCATCATCTCTTACAGTAGTTGCGCCCTCCAGCGTCCAACCAATTCTGTAGAGCGATAATGTTAGAGCTGAGATGGGGTTCTTGACTTTGTTCCAAGCGTGGCGCTCTTTCAGCCAGGGCCGCGCCTCCATGACGAGGCCGTTGACCACATTCCTGGGGGCCATGCCAGCCGCAAGGAACGTGGCGAACGTCTGCATGGCATCCGCGGTCGCGATGACGAGCGGGTCTGATCTCCACCCGCTCTCTGCGAATTGTAATGCAAGGCCCACATGGGCCCCTGGTTTGAACCTCCCCGCGGCGTTGAGGAAGGACATCCGAAGCTGCTGGATTCGCCCATTGGGGACCCCTGCAATGCTGCATACCCAGAGGCTCTTGGAAAGCACACCTGCACGATGGACCGCCGATCTTTCAACCGAGGCCCTGCAAGGCCTGGATGCGGCCCCCCTTCTTCATGGCCTCCTGGATCCTTTTCAACTGGGTCCCAATCCTTCGCAAACGACCATCCACAGCATCTCCTCCTAGGTCCCTGTGGTACTGATCATGCTTCAGGTGGGGGATGTTGGCTGGCCAGAGGTCCAAGAGCTCCCCATAGACCTCCGAAAACACTTCCTTGTCCCTGCAGAGAATCCCCATCTTGTCCCAAGAGATCGGGAGGCCCTTCTTCTGGGGGCCCACGAGGAGGTAGTCCAGGGCGTATTTCATTTCCCTGGTGACCGAAAGCCTGCATCCGATGGCGTGGAGGCTTATGTCGACGATGAGGTTCTTGATCCGCACCGTAGGGCATCTGACCCCTATGTGTCCCAGCGTCGTGATAGTCATCAATTTAGCCAGACCAGTTGCACAAGAGCATTCTGCTATTACTGTTCCATTGGCTCGCAGTTCAGATGACGTCGATCTCTGGTATGTGGCCCTTCTTGGGCCTCTGTACATGCAGCGCACCAGTTTTAACAACCTGATGGGGAAATCTGTCTCTAGCAGCACATAATAATTCAGCGTGGCTGATCATGTCATAGAATTTCCTGAGGTCTACAAACGCACTCACACTGACAAAGTTATAAACGGGGGCAACGCTCGCTGGCACGTTGTGGATCCAGGCCGATTTGCCGCACGACGTTTCGGACGAGGACCCCCGGAAGAAACTGTCCCCGAGGGTGCCCCCCCATTTGGCCACTTCTGAGTGCCTCAGACGAGACCAGATGCGACCGAAGAGAGGGAGGAGTCCTATGGGGCGCACTCCTCCTTGGTCCTTGGGGCTTTGCAGGGGACACAATGATAGTTAGCAACATGTCTGTGTCCTCTGGATTGTCTTCCCAGAGGTGCAGAAGTGCAGAGAGGGGCACTAGCAGCTCGACAGGCAGATGCTCGATCCAGCGCGGGTGGAAACAATCCCATCCCAGCGCTGTCTTTGCCCTGAAGGTCTGCAACACCGCCTCGACCCTGTGAATCTCCACCCTGGGGGGCGGCGGTGCATCCTCAACCGACCAGGTGAGCGGGTGAGCTTCACTTTCACGCTCAGGCACAACCCACAAGCTCACCCATTCACCCAGCGTGGCCTGGAGGGCCGCATGACCTACAACAGGTAGCCCACTGGAGTCCTGATCAGAAGGATCGGCGCCCCTGGGGCCCTTAGAAAAACGGTGCGCCAAACCTGCGCCATTCTGAAAGGCGAGCTCCGACAAGTCTCTCCAGCTGGCTCTGGCGGCGGCTGCATCTGCAGCCGTGTGCGCAAGCACTTGATCTTGAACAAATTTGCAAGCTTCTCCCTTCTGCTCGTCGCTCGCAAACTGTTGCAAAAAGGATTCACAATCGCTGATCCTGAAACCGACTCCTCCGTCACCCGGCACACCACCCGTGTCCCGCGCGCCCCCCGGCTCTCTAAGACGACGCTCGGCACGGGCCTTCGACTCCTGTTGGGCAGAGACGGTGGTGTCTGAAGCGCGGAGCCGTTGCATGGTTAAACGCCTGATGCTGAGCCACTTCTGAGTCAGGGGGGGCGCCTTTCTGCGAAGGCTCTTCCCCCATTCACACGCAAGGGGAACTTTTTCCAGTCGACACCCGGGCTCTCTTCCACAGTAACGCGGCCTGTCCGAAGCTGGGATGGCCAAAAACATGCATAGATAGAGCTCAGCAGACTGAAACTGGCGACGCGCCAGACTGTCCACCGACTCCCCCTCTTTCTGGTCAAAGCCTGGCCAGCTCGAGACGTCTCCTGGAACAAAGGAGTGCCCCGTCAGAGGCATTGGAAATGGGTCGGGCTTGATCCGTCTGTAAATGTAGTTCTGACCCCCAAGCCCTCCCAGAACGAGTTTGATCGCCCTGTGGGGCCCAACGGGGGCGTCTTCCAGAACCGAAATGGACTTGACAAAAGAAAGCAGCACATCACTGATCACGAAAAAAAAAAAACATAATGTGAGTCATGACACGTTGGCTTCCCACTGCGCACAACTTCTGCGTGCACCTGACTCAGGAAGCCAACCCTCAAAAACGAGTCTCTGCCAAAAAATTCGGCCTCAAAATTCCAATCTCCCGCTGCGATGAAAGGCAGGCAGGCTGCGCGCACCGCCTCAAGCAACGAGGCAATCAATTCGACGTTGTCTGCCACACCTACACTGCAAATGGCGTAGATGGAGACCAGCAGCGCCTGCGTACCTCCCAGCATGACGCGCTGGAAGAAGAGCCTGGATTTGTCGAACCCGTTGTTCGGGAGGTGCTCAACGCTGGCGATGTGACCTGGTGTGAGGATGCCAACCCCACTGGATGTCTCCGTGATCTTCTTGCCCGTCACGGTGCG